TGTTTTTAATCTGTTGGGAGGCACCCTGAGTGGGTGGGGAAATTGAGTCGGATGGGCGGGGTATAAATATATTAATAAACTTCTTCTTCTTCTTCTTCTTCTTCTTCTTCTTCTTCTTCTTCTTCTTCCCACCTTTTGGCACACATTATGATATAAAATACTATTTAAAAGATTTCTAAATAGTCAACAGGTAGGTTACTGTGTAAAATTAAACCAAATCAAATAAAGACCATCAGTAGTGATGTTTTTATATATATGGTTGATTTGGTTTAATTAATACACACACACACACACAAGGGACGCGGGTGGCGCTGTGGGTAAAACCTCAGTGCCTAGGACTTGCCAATCGAAAGGTCGGTGGTTCGAATCCCCGCAGCGGGGTGCGCTCCCGTCGTTCGGTCCCAGCGCCTGCCAACCTAGCAGTTCGAAAGCACCTCCGGGTGCAAGTAGATAAATAGGGACCGCTTACCAGCGGGAAGGTAAACGGCGTTCCGTGTGCTGCGCTGACTCGCCAGATGCAGCTTGTCACGCTGGCCACATGACCCGGAAGTGTCTGCGGACAGCGCTGGCTCCCGGCCTATAGAGTGAGATGAGCACACAACCGTAGAGTCTGGCAAGATTGGTCCGTACGGGCAGGGGTACCTTTACCTTTACCTTTATACACACACACACAGTGGACACTCGGGTTGCAAACATGATCCACGCAGGATGCACGTTCGCCTGCAGCATTCACAACCTGCAGCGGCACGTCTGTGCACGTGTGGGTTGCGATTCGGCATTTCTGCGCATGCGCAAAGCGCGATTTAACACTTCTGCACATGCGTGACCACCGAAACCTGGAAGTAATCCGTTCCAGTATTTCCAGGTTTTGGCGGGTCTGTAACCCGAAGAAACACAACCTGAAGCATCTGTAACCCGAGGTATGACTGTACTGTATATGACTGATAAATATACGTATATATTGATGATAAATTTATACTGTAAACTGCCCTGTGATCCTTAGGTGAAGCTCAGCATATAAATTTAATAAATCAATAAATAACGGACCAAAATATGTACAAAATATTAAAATAAGGTATCACTCGAGATACCGTTCCCAGACTTAAACTTCCTGCTGCATGTAAAAGTTTTAGTATTCCAAAAGCTTTCTGATATTATAGTTCCAACATCCTGCAAAGTCAGATAAAGCTAAGGGCACGGCAAACTTTGGGTAGGAGCCGGCAGAGAACCTTATGCAAAAATACATTTGAGTAAATGACAATCTCAAACGCCAATAGAAGCAGGAAGGGCACTGTTCAAATAACTTAACATGAACTTGAGCTAAAGATCGCAGGGATGGTTCAGACATGAATGCTAAGCAGTGATTTTGCTTGTGCTCACTTGCTCTCCCCTCTCACCACCATGTGCAGCGATAGCCCTGTCCTGATTTGAGGCAACCCACAAATTGACGCTTCATCTAAAGTCATCTAATCTTCCTTGCTGTATTATACTGTATTGTTTTAATTAGTGTTTTTATAGTTGTTTTGATTTTGTGTGGAGTGCCCTACCTGGGTGGATGGAGCAGCCAAGTAATTTCGTTGTCCCCGAGAGGGGCAATGACAATAAAGATATTATTATTATTATTATTATTATTATTATTATTATTATTATTATTATTCATATAGCAAATTATTATTTGCAATTGCACTCCAAGTAGGACTGGAAAACCAAGAAGGGAAGAAGGAATCAAAAGGTTCCTTTGAAAGCCTAGAGATCCTGCCAAACCCAGTCATTCATTCATTCATTCATTCAATTAATATCCCGCCCTTCATCCCAAAGGAGCCCAAGGGCAGCAAAAACACATTAAATCATCTAAAAACAGTTCCAGTACAGATGCAGACTGGGAAAGAGCTCTACTTAACAGTCTCGTGGGAAGAAGAAGGTCTTCAGTAGGCACCAAGAAGACAATGAGGGAATCCCAAGAAGTAGGTGCCACAACACAGAAGACCCACCCACTTCCTACATTGTGCTGAATGGACTACTGGGATCTTTGGCCCCCTATAAAATATTTGAGGGGGCAGGGACCCCAAAAGTTGATGGACATTGCCATTCAAATGGTGTGTGTCTGCCATGTCATGTGAACGATTATTTGGGGCAGGGCTTACTTGGCACCCCTGCCAAGCTGTATAGGGCTTCAACACCAAAACCAAGGATTTGGGTTATAACATTGAATTAGCAGTGTGGGAGAGACTATGGACAATAGACATGACTACAGACATTAAAATTGACAGCATGTTACATTTTGAAGGAGAATGATATGAAAATGATGTATCGTTGGTATTTATCTCCTAGTAAATTAGCTCAGATGTATAAATAAAAGTTACAAACATGTTGGAAATGCAAAGAAAAAGAGGGTACTTTTTATCACATGTGGTGGTCGTGTGAGATGATAAAAGACTTCTGGGGAATGATATATAATGAATTGAATAAAAAATGCTGAAAATAACTTTTCCTAAGAAACCAGAAGCCTTTTTAAAGGTATTATAGGACCAGAGATCCCAAAGGACTAGACAAAACAATTTATGTACGCGTCCATGGCTGTGCGGATTCTGTTAGCCCTGAAATGGAAAGATGGTACAACTCCAACCAAAGAAGAGTGGCAGACAAAACTGATGAGCTATGCCGAGATGGCAAAACTTGCAGGAAGAATTAGAAACCAGGAAGAGGAGGTCTTTAATAAAGAATGGGGAAACGTTATAATTTATTTGAAAAGCTATTGTAAACAATTGCATACATTGGTAGGACTGACCGAAAACTTGTAGTAAAAATTTGAACTATGGATTGACAAAGGATTGACAAGAATATGAAAGAGATGTAGAGGGGGAAATCATTCAGTTAAGATCCACAATGGGCACGGGAGGGAAGTCAAGGGGGATTATATGTCTATGTCTTTAATTTGTGTGTTTATGTAAAATAGAAAATGCAAAAATAAAATTTATAATAAACACCAAACCCAGCACCTTGAACCGTCAGCCAGTTCAGTTCCTCCAGCAGTGACATAACATGGTGGCAATATCCTTCCCTAGAGATCAGTCAAACCTTGCCATCTTGAACTTGCTACAGCTTTTGGGCCAACCTCAAGGGCAGCTCTGCAAGGAGTATACTGCAGTAATCCAACCTGGCCATTATCAGTGCATGGATTACAGTGACCACAAACTGCCATAGCTGTCCCAACAACCTAAGCTGGTAGAAGGTAAAAGGTAAGATAAAGGACCCCTGGACGGTTAAGTCCAGTCAAAGGCAACTATGAGGTTGTGGTGCTCATCTTGATTTCAAGCCGAGGGAGCTGTTGTTTGTCCACAGACAGCTTTCCGGGTCATGTGGCCAGCAGGACTAAACTGCTTCTGGCACAATGGGACACTGTGATGGAAGCCAGAGCACATGGAAATGCCGTTTACCTTCCTGCCACAGTGGTACCTATTAATCTACTTGCACTGGCGTGCTTTTGAACTGCAAGGTTGGCAGGAGCTGGGACAGATCAATGGGAGCTAATCCTGTCACAGGGATTTGAACCACCAGTCTTCTTATTGGGAAGCCCAAAAGTCTCAGTGGTTTAGACCACAGGGCCACCCACTTCCTGAATAAACAAGCACACAATCACTGATAGGTCCACTCACCATTGTGAGGCTCAAAGCATTGAAGATGATGCCTCCCCAGCTGTTGCCATTGGCTGTGGGTTTCTTGTGATGTCACAAAAGCACTTGGCAACTGAGTGGATATAAAGGCAGGGCAGGGGGAAAGCCCTTTTCTGTTTCCAACAGGACACAGCTGGAAATGGATGTGACATTCAGCACTGCCCAGGTTTCTTCCACTTGGAGGAGGCAAAGTGGTGAATAGAAGGAGGCAATCCTCTGGCAGTGGGATGTTAGGGAGCGTTAATAATGCAAGTTTGGTTGCTTGAAGGCTGCTGGTAGCTGTGGTTGGAAGCTGGTGGATGTCTGATGATGGGCCTAAGAGAAGCTGGCAGATGTTGGTGGATGGAAGCCAGTGGCTAAAGCAGACTGATGTTTGTGGATGTCGGCTGATGGAAGTTCACCTTTGAAAGACAGTCAACAGAAGCCAGTGGATCTTTGTGGATGGAGGCCAGGGCATGAACGTGAATGGATGTCATGTTTTTGGATGTCGGCTGGTATATGTTTGTGTGAGTAAATGGGGGGGGGTTCAAAGTGGGTGAGGCAGAATGGTGTTTGCATGTGCACAAATGTGATGTGTGAAAGGTAGATATTCATAAATAGATGGAGCCCTTGGGAGGGGGGATATTGGTTTCATGGAATCAGAGAATCGGGGGAATCAAGTTTGGGAGGGACCATGAGGGTCATCTAGCCCAACCCCTTACAATGCAGGAATCTTTTTGCCAAATGTGGGGCTCATACCCACTGGCATGCTTTTGATCTGCTAGGTTGGCAGGAGCTGGGACCGAGCAACAGGAGCTCACCCCATCACAGGGATTTGAACCGCTGACCTTCTGATCAGCAAGCCCAAGAGGCTCAGTGGTTTAGACCACAGTGCCACCCGCGTCTCACTTTGACTAGAGATATCACCTCATTGACAAGAGGAACCCATCCCAGTTCTACCATAGAGAATTACGGTATATACTAAACAAGACCCTACAGCTGAAAGAAAGATTTTGTAATGGAAAGCAGCTGGCATGTTTGAAACAAGAGGAAGGGACTCGTTTTGGGGAGGTTTCAAATGTATTTCTGAGAGACTCCCTAGAAAGCACAGACTCCAGTTGAGCCACAATCTTGTTTTGCAAAGTCAAGTTGAGCTTGGAAGGATGGAAATCCCACGGATTTCCTTTTAACAGGGAATGCTGACGTCGCAGCACCTCTTCCAAATTATGGACGTAAATTAACCTTGCATTAAATAACCGCAGAGCTTTTGGGGAAGCGGGGCTGTGAACGTGCACCCGGGCCTTAGAAGCCAACCAACATGTCTCTTTTTCTGAGCCCTTTGAGCTTTTGTTCAAAGTTTGAAGGCTGCTCGCTGACAAGTGATTTGTTTCCATTAGAACATGCCTCCTTCCAGCCGTCCGTGACCATCTTGTACTTAGGGCTTTATAAGCAGCACGTCTCAACATTCCTAAAATCCCAGGGAGGATCTGAAAATAGAAAAAGAAATGAGGATTTAAATTAAAAGCAACGGCCCTTAAATAGAGCTGCCATGTTTTGAGGCAAGATAGTGTCTCTTTCCCCCTCCTTCTCGCTTCCCTCCCCCCTCCCACGGGGTCGCAAGTTGCTTTTTCCAGAATACAGTGCAAAGCCACCGAGATTTGCATTCCCTCTTCTATTTATAGGAGCCTCTTTTAAAACGAAACAGGTGTCAAGTTGAATGAGACTGAAGCAGGCTTACATGTCCTATATGGCTGGAAAAGCAAGAGCCGGCGTGTGTGAGAGAGGAAACAGGGCGACTTGGGTGATTGGCAGATCGGTTGCTGAATGGAGCGAGCAGCCGAATGGGGGAGAGGAAAAGCTGAGCTGTTTCTCTGCAGGGCTTCGGCCATCTTTAATTCAATCGATTTAGAAGAATTTAATGACAGGGGAAGGGACCAGCTGGCTTTCCCTGCAGAATTAAATCCTCCAAAGATTGAGAGAGAGAAAGTGAGAGTTAACTGTGCAATGCAAATCCCCTTTGGGTGGAGAGTGGCATTGGGCAGAGGGGCAGCCTTGGCAACCTCCGCCAGCTTGCTCCATTGCCAGCAGAGTGATATCAGTGCCAATCCACCGGCACAGAGCTCCCCCGTCCACTCACTGAACAGGCAGACAGGAGTGGTGATGTCTGGGACCCTGCCAGTGGGAACCATTGGAAAGCCCTGGAATGGGGCATTCAATGGGCCGGTGGGAAGGCCAAGGGTCCAGATAATGGGTCGATTATTTGCTTTGGATAGGGTCATGCTTCCCCTGAAACAGTTGGTAGTCTGGGGGTGCTCCTGGGTGCATCTACCTCAGTGGCTAGGAGTGTCTTTTACCATAGTCGCCTTTGACTGGACTTAACTGTCCAGGGGTCCTTTCCCTTTCCCTTTCGCTATCTCTAGTCTAAGGGAGAAGGCAGTTCCATCAGTAAGAGAGTCTGATGTCCAGAACTTCAGATAGATTTTGGCCACAGTCATCATTTATTTATTGCAATAGGGAGATTAGCAATTGTCATTTTAGCACTGTTTTGGATTCACTTCTTACCTCTAATGGATGCTCTTCAATATCTTCCTAACTTCAGTGACAGAGCTGATTCAGTGATACCTCAGGTTACATATGCTTCAGGTTACATACGCTTCAGGTTACACACTCTGCTAACCCAGAAATAGTGCTTCAGGTTAAGAACTTTGCTTCAGGAAAAGAACAGAAATTGGGCATCCGGCGGCGCGGCGGCAGCAGGAGGCCCCATTAGCTAAAGTGGTGCTTCAGGTTAAGAACAGTTTCAGGTTAAGAACAGACCTCTGGAACGAATTAAGTACTTAACCCGAGGTACCACTGTATTGTAAACGCCGTTCAGGAGCCCCCTGGGAGAGGCTACTGCCAAGTAGAAGTGGCAGGTGAGTGTGGGCCCAGGTTTTGAGGTTGGGTCTAGGTCACATGACTGAGCAGAAGAGGGTTTGTTGTGTCCCGCCCCCAGCTCTCTGCCACAACGTCCCTTTGGGGGACTTATACTGGTGCAAGTTGCACAGGTTTCAGCTGCCCCAGATATGCTGCAGTGAGGGACTTCAGGCCAATGTAGATAGGAAAGCCCAAGGTTGGCCAAATCGAAACTCTCTCATCCTGCTGGATCTTAGGTTTGGATTGTGCTGTAAGTTAGTGTTGTTGCCTCTGTTTTAAATGAACACAGTGAGATTTTTAACAGTGAAACTAGGATGTGGCTTGATTTTGGATGAAATTATTATTATTATTATTATTATTATTATTATTATTATTATTATTATTATTTCATCATCATCATCATCATCATTACTTTATGCCTCTATGTGTATGGCTTTTCCGCACATACCCTTTAGTCTGTCCCAACAGATTTTCCTTCCTACTAGACAGAAGTACTGTTTTTGGGGGACAGGAGGTGGGCAGGTGTGGAGGACTCCCGGGTCCTGAATGGGGTAACTGTGCCCCTGAAGGACCAGGTGTGCAGCCTGGGAGTCATTTTGGACTCGCAGCTGTCCATGGAGGCGCAGGTCAACTCTGTGTCCAGGGCAGCTGTATACCAGCTCCATCTGGTACGCGGGATGAGACCCTATCTGCCCGCGGACTGTCTCGCCAGAGTGGTGCATGCTCTGGTTATTTCTCGCTTGGACTACTGCAATGCGCTCTACGTGGGGCTACCTTTGTAGGTAACCTGGAAACTACAACTAATCCAGAATGCGGCAACTAGACTGGTGACTGGGAGCGGCCGCTGAGACCATATAACACTGGTCCTGAAAGACCTACATTGGCTCCCAGTACGTTTCCAAGCACAATTCAAAGTGTTGGTGCTGATCTTTAAAGCCCTAAGCAGCCTCGGTCCAGTATATCTGAAGGAGCGTTTCCACCCCCATTGTTCAGCCCGGACACTGAGATCCAGCTCCAACGGCCTTCTGCCGGTTCCCTCATTGCAAGAAGTGAAGTTACAGGAAACCAGGCAGAGGGCCTTCTTGGTAGTGGCACCCACCCTGTGGAACACCCTCCCATCAGATGTCAAAGAGATCTGAAGGAGAAGACATCTGAAGGTATAAGAAGGTTTTTAATGTTTAATGTTTTATTATGTTTTTGTGTATGCTGGACGCCACCCAGAGTGGCTGGGGCAACCCAATCAGATGGGTGGGGTATACATAATAAATTGTTCTTATTGTTCACCCAGTGCCCTGCAGGTTGCTTATGGAACGGGGAAGGCCAAAATTGATGCTCTTTTTACAGAAAATGTGGGAAGAGAAGCACTCTGCTTTGTAAGTGGTGTCTACCATGTTGAAAGTACACCAATTAAAGAATGAAAATGGTTTATTGAATATTTACATATAAATTATAAACAGATAAAAACATTGGCAGGAATATTGTGATAACCTGCAGTTTCATAAGCGTGTATGTTTAAAGAAGATGAATAAATGAGTAAATTAAGTTAATTTGGATATGCGGAAGATATTAAAAGCAAATTTAAGGAATCGCAGAAAGAGGGGGAATGGAGTAAATTTTGAAATGTTAAAATGAAGTGCCTCCAATTGCCTATATTGGTCCCTCTGGCAAAGACTGGCCGGCGACTGCTTGCCAACCACGTATGCTTGATAAATTGGAGCCCTGCCATAATGTCTCTGAAGTTTCACCAGCTTCCATCTGCAGTTAATCATATGGGCATCATGACCACAGTTGCGCATTTGATCCTGTGATATATCTGACCACTGTTCCTTAAATCCTTTTTTAGAGGTGGCAGCCTGGCTGTGGAAAAGATGTCAGGCAAATGAACCTGAGTTACCCAGTATTGCTCGCTGCCAAAGAGTCTCAGGTTGCAGCCGTTCCTCCTCGAGGCTGCAATCATGCGCCCATCAGCCAAAAGGAAAGACTATAGTGAGCAAATCAGAAGGAAGCAGCATGGGTTATTTGGAAGTCTGTCCAGAATGCCAGTTTGGGCTGTTCTGGCTGTCCCCAAGTACCCCAAGCTGTGTGCAAACTTAGAGTTGCTGGCTGTCATCCTCTTTCTCATGCAATTGTATACAATTCCAGGATGATCAGGTGCCCGTGGAATACTTTCCGGTAGTTTTTATTGTGATACCCCTCAACCTCCCACTTGTCCATTGGGTCTCTTTCTTTGAAATTCATTCCCATTGCTTCCTATCCCTCTAGCTTTCAGTTGACACTTCTGTTTATTTGTCAGGGCATTTACCATATTTTTCACTCTATAGGACGCACCAGACCATAGGACGCACCTTGTTTTAGAGGGAGAGAACAAGGGGGGAAAATTCTCTCTGCTCAGTGCCCCTTCAGCGAAGCGGCAGGAGAAACGGAGCCCCTTCCAAGACTCTCCCGGCTTCAGCAAAAGGAACCTGAAGCCTCCGGAGCACAGCGGGAACTTGCGCTGCACTCCAAAGGCTTCAGGCGGCTATCCCTGAAGCCTGGAGAGCGAGAGGGGTTGGTGTGCACCACCCCTCTCGCTCTCCAGGCTTCAGCGAAAGCAACGCAAAGCCTCCGTAGTGCGGAGGAAGCACTCCCTCTGCGCTTTGGAGGCTTCGTGTTGCTATTGCTGAAGCCAAGAAGCCTGCATTCACTCCATAGGACGCACACACATTTCCCCTTAATTTTTGGAGGGGGAAAAGTGCGTCCTATAGAGTGAAAAATACGGTATTTATTTATTTTGAAGAAGAGGTTCCAGAACTTGTTGGCTTTTTTTTTAGGGGGACCAACCAACCAAACTTTGTTGAGCATGCAGTCAAGGTTGTTGAGCTATTTTTTTTTGGGGGGGGGAGATTGCCCCTAAGTAATCTTCTCTTCTTCACCCACTCAGCCTACCAACGGTTTTGGCACCTTACGATGGCTCCCTCTGCTGCACCACACCAATCGCTGTGCTGCTGTGCCGCAATACTACAGAGGTGCTGGAATGCAGCAAAGAGGTGCCGGAACGCAGTTCTGGTGAGTTCCACCTGAAAAAGCCCCTGCCTGCACTCACCTTGAAGGTGCAGCATTTTAGACCAGGTCCTCAAGGTGGTTTTGAGTACCACCTTTGCTTCTAGCAGAATGTTCTCCTCATCAGTGGTGTAGCATGGGTTGCCAGTACCCGGGGCCGCATGGTGAGAAGGAAATGGATGGAGTACGCATGCGCATTCAACTGCCTAATGACATCCATGTCACCCAAGAGATCGAAACTGCAGAGATAAGAAAAGAAGAGTCATTCTGTTGTCTGCAGATGTCACTTCCTGGTTCGCATGGAGAAGCCGTTTTTAATAGAGCCCAGTGTCGGAAGCACACAGCAGTATTGAGGCAGCACCGGATGTTGAAATTTTGCACCCCTAACAAATTTGCACCTGGGGAAACTGCCCCTTTTGCCCCCTCCCGCGTGCTATATTACTGCTCCTCATGATGGGAAGATGTTCCAGCTGCTTGGTTGCCGCTTTGCTTAATGACTCTTTCCAAAATTCAGGATTCATGCTGGTCAGTTGACACGATGCCCAAGGGTAAAAAAAGAAATCCATTTGTAATCAGAAAGCTCTCTTGGGGAGGACTGCACAATAATGTAAGTGAGTTAACAAAGAGCTGGTTTGCAAGCACTGAAGGAGGGATTGATTGAGGCTGGAAGAACATGGCTCAATTGATAGAAAAGCATTACCAAAATCATTTTGTTGGGTCTCTTTACCACTTCCACCCAAAATAATATGTCAAAGGTAGCCTAGGGGAATGGCATAGGTTTCAAAGAAATAGCTTCACTGCAGAGTTCTCTTTCTGGATGCTTTTCATTCGCCAAGTCTCATCTTGCATATTGACAGCACGTCGTCTTGTTAAAGACTCATTGCAGAGCATTCCAGAGGCATATTACCTTACCCACTGGAAACTTGGACCAGTGAGTCTATCATGCCTTACAGTATTGACAGGGTTGCCTGGGTCACTTCTGCCTTCTATGCTGGCCAAAAGAACGTGGAAGGTTGGTTCTTGCAAACTGTGAGTGCTTTGCTGGGTGGACGTTTTGAATACCAAGGTTTATTCAACTTACGAATTGCTTCCCGAAAGTCCTGGTGCAGTTTGCAACGAGGATAAAAGGCAGTAATGAAAAGACATAACCATATTAAAGACATCATCAGAGTATACACACACACACACACACACGACATTTAATCACTGATGCAGCCAAAATGTCAGGGAAAGCAAAAACTTATTTGCTTGGCACCAAAATAATGACAAAATTATGCCTGATGGGTCTCCATGGGGAGCAACTGCAGAAAAGGCCTGTTCTCTCATCACCACCCTCCGGACCGTCCTCAGAGGTGGCACACAGAGAAGTGCCTAAGATGATGATCTCATAGTCCACACTGGATCATAAGCTTGGGTACTACCACAAAAGGCCTTTTCTTCAGCCACCACTCACAAGGTAGAAGGTGGGGCTCTCAAAAGATCTCGATTGATAGGCTCAGGTGGAAGTAGACACTCATTTCAATACCTGGGCCAGGCCATCTACAAATCTGAAGGCAAAACCTGGCATCTGGAATTGAACCTGGAAAGAAATTGGCAGCCGGTGAAGCGCTTTCCATTCTGGTATGACATTTTCTCAGTGGTCAACCACAGTCAATCTGTCCACCACATTTTGGACCAGTTAAGGGTACGGTTCACAAATGCTCTTCTGGGTCAATCCCATTGTAAAGGGAATTGGGGGTTGCTTGTGCGTAAGGGGGTTGCTGCTCTAGGCAACGTTGTCTGGCTAAACCTTTCCCTGGCTGGACAGCCCTTTCTCCGTGGCTGTGTCAGTCACTGGCAGAATCCGTCAGTGGGTGTTTCCTGAACTTCTTCCAACATAAAAGCTCTTTGACGCCAAGTCTCCTCCTAGCCTCCCTGCGCGGAAGTCTTCTGCGCAGAGTGGGCGTGGCCAGCGGAGGTCCTGGGCTCTCTCCGCTGGTCTCTGTGGAAGAGTCTTGGAGCCATCTCTCCGAAGTCCTTCCCTGCTCCCCTTTCTTCCTGGTGTCATGCCGATTTCCTTCCCCAAAGGAAGTGTTCTCTCTCTCCCTGCTGGTCCCTTCTCCTGCCTCGTCAGGGAGCCTTACCTCCACTCTTGGCTCCGATGGCAGTTCCCTGACACCCATGTACTGTAGAGCAGCCAAAATTCATGAAAGTCACTGCAAACCGTCAAACCACCTGAATGCCCAGTGCTGGACTTAGCGACATCCTCAAGCTGTGATCTGGGTCAAAAGGGTGAGACTCTGTCCAGAGCCAGGCTTCCTAGTGTTCCTCTCTTGCTCCCAATAGCATAGAGCCCTTCTTCATCTTAAGCATTGTGAAGTTTCTTTGGTTTCACCATCTATTTTTGTTTCTTGAAGTCTCTTTCTTCATCTCTCCATTGTTTGGTCCTCTTTCTTAGCATGTTACCTACTATGTATTCTTCCTTCAGCATCCTCGCTGCCGGCTTGCTGTCTCCTGAGAGCCAGCGTGGTGTAGTGGTTAAGAACGGTGGACTCGTAATCTGGTGAACCGGGTTCGCTTCCCCGCTCCTCCACATACAGCTGCTGGGTGACCTTGGGCCAGTCACACTTCTCTGAAGTCTCTCAGCCTCACTCACCTCACAGAGTGTTTGTTGTGGGCGAGGAAGGGAAAGGAGATTGTTAGCTGCTTTGAGACTCCTTTGAGTAGTGATAAAGCGGGATATCAAATCCAGGTTCTTCTTCTCCTTCTCCTTCTTCTTCTTCCTTCTTCTCCCCCCCCCAAGTTTCCCTACATCCCGGGACAAATGCCCATAGGACGTCCCTATTTTCATTGGAGAAATGTCGAAAGGTATGTAGCCATCATCTGGGTGAAGTTTAAATCCTAGCCAAACAGATGAATTTCCCTCCCCTCATAGAAGGTGGGCTGTACATTGTCTTGCTCCCTGAGCAGCTGTACCTTCCGAGTTACCCATGAGTTCAGACTAGTCAGCATCAAAAGCTTTTTGGTCATGTGTGCAATGAAACAGAGATTATTTCACCCATTCTGAGTCCATATAGCATCAAGTCTGGGATCAGGCTGGTCTAGTTTAGGGAAGCTTTTAATGTTTGATGTATTACAGTATTTTAATATTTGTTTGGAAGCCACCCAGAGTGGATGGGGTATAAATAATAAATTATTATTATTATTATTAATTATTATTATTATTATTATTATTATTATTATTATTATTAGTATTAGTATTATGTTTAGCCTCCAGATAACCTCATCTTTCATTTTGGTAAAGATATATTTTGTAGGTTGCATGAATTTTGCTGGCACTGTTTTCGGTTTAGACTCAAAAACCCAACATAGCCTGGGTCAAGACGTTCAAAGGATGAGGTTGCTGTATACAGTTCCCTTTCTCCTTCTGGTTTTTATTGTCAGTTGGTTGAATAAATATTCTCAATTGTTTCTCCAGAATGACAAAATTTCAATTCTTTGTTTTGAAACCAGAATCTGTTGTGGATTTTAAAATGCTGAGTATATTTAGCCCTGGCTGAAGTGTTAACCCACAGATGCAAACAATAAATTCCAAGATTCACCCAGCAGAAGAAAGAATACATAGCAAAAAAAATATAAAAAAATATAAATCCTCTTATGTGGTCTATAAGTATACCTGGTTTGCTTTGGGGGCTCAGTTCTTCCAGTATGGTGAACAGTCTTGTTATGTAAGTTGTGATCACTGCAGAGGGTGGGATGGGGAGAGCCTCTCAAATGTCCTTAGAAAACATTGTGGACTATTTAATATCTGGCTTGGTAAGCACAGTAGTTATGAAACAGCTTTTTAGAATAATTTTGGAACTCTGCCTCTGTTTCTGTTTATTTTAAGGCTTATTTGCAAGGGATAGAGTGACCGTGTCCTAAAGTATACTCCAAGTGAACCCTCTCAACCTGACAAATTAATACCCTACCAATAAGGTCATTCCTTGAAGCGAAGACCCAATGTTAACGATGCCCACAACCGTTGCCAGCGTTTTCATCATCCTAATAAATTTACTCTCAATTTCAGGAGGTGAGATCAGGACATGGTGGACCAAAGAGGCAAGAGGGGTTCACAGGGGTCGGTCTGCCCTCGCTGCCATATATTTAGGAGACCCCAGGCAGGTCTCCAGTACTTAGCTCACAGTTCTCAAATGTCAATAGAATGAAGGATCTCTGGGCTACTTTGCTCCCTGCCTCTGGAAACTTCTAGGTAACAATGTTCCACATTTGTGTTTTAACACTTTGTAAAAATGTATTGCCAGGTTTGTTTACGCATTTATAATGTGTATCATTTGCTTGTTTTGGCTTCACGAAATTAAGACCATTTGCATGAACAGGGCAACACATTTGTTCTGCAATACAAAATTGTTAAGCTCAATAGCCTTAAGAATAGTGGCTGCTAAAATAATTGAAATAAGCTTCAGAAACCTGGGTTTCCTGACACAATTACCGGTAAATATTCTCTTGTTTTGTTGTGAACCTTTTGAAATACATACCCTCACATTTTTCAAACTTGCAAAAGCTTGAAACAACTACATTATTATTGTTTTTAAAAGTTCTTACAGTGGTTCCAAAAGCCACATGTACTGGTTGGGTGTCGCCAACCAATTTCTGAGTTTCTGCAGTAGAAGGAAATGAATGCATTTATGGTTGTGCTTATACATGTGCCCTACGGATAAAATGACACAAAAAGGTCCTTACATACCGTATTTTTCACCCCATAGGACACACTTTCCCCCCTCCAAAAATGAAGGGGAAATGTGTGTGCGTCCTATGGGGCGAATGCAGGCTTTTGCTGAAGCCTGGAGAGCGAGAGGCATTGGTGCGCACCGACCCCTTTCGCTCTCCAGGTTTCAGCAGGCTATCCGCAAGCCTTGCAAGCCCGGCGGGAGTTCCCGCGGGCTCACAAGGCTTGCGGGCAGCAGCCTGCAGCCCGAAGCATGGGGCGCCCTCTAGAGGGTGCCCCGTGCTTCGGGCGGGTGTCCGCAAGCCTTGCGCGCCCGGCGGGAGGTCCCACCAGGCGCGTGAGGCTTGAGGTGGCAGCCTGCAGCCCGAAGCACGGGAAGCCCTCCGGAGGGCGCCCCATGCTTTGGGCAGGTGTGCGCAAGGCTTGGGGTGGCAGCTGCGGCTGGGGGGGGGAATAATTTTTTTAAAATTCATTTCCCCCCCCAAAAAACGAGGTGCGTCCTATGGGCCGATGTGCCCTATAGGACAAAAAATACGGTATTTATGGCAGGTTCAGGATCCCTTAGCTATAGAAAGCATGATGTAGCATAATGTTGGATTATAAATAATCCCTGTGATATGGACTCTTTCTTGCCACAATGTCTGTCACGGGATTATTTTTTGTTTCTTATTCACATCACTGTTAAAGATTTTGTTTGCTTTCCGTAAAGGTTGTACCGGGCTTGTGCAGTTGGGCATTCCTGCCTTACTGAAGCCCCATTCTTGTGCAAATCTATGCTGTGCATTAATACAACAGCACAAGGGGTAGAAGGAGAACCAATTTGCTTGCTCATTTATTTGCAAACTCAGGTATTCAGAATGCACGCTTGTTAAATGTAACAAGTTGCTCCCACACCGATTCTTAAGTACTGTCTGTATACCAGTGCAACAAGGCAGCATGTAGTTATGTGAACTTCACTCAACTCAAATCCTTTCTCTTGCCAGAGGAAACCCAGTAACCCCAGATCTTTTAAACACAAGAACTAGGGACATTTTGTCACGACTGAGCTGTGTATTCATTTCACCAGTAGAGCCAGGCGGGGAAGTTTGGAAAAGTGGTACTTTCCCATATCTGTTTGCTGTGATGGTACACCCTGTTGAGTGTCTTGGGACATCATGTGCAGTGCCAGAAGCAAGTGTGAATTCTTTCCCTGTACTTTGCAGGAATGATGGCAAGAACACGAGAGGCCGTTGCAATGGAGGAAAGAATGTGGTAAGAAAGACTCAGTACGGTCCGTACGCCAATAAAGGTTTGAGAATCTGACTCAGTACAGCTTGGCCATTCTTGGTCCAGTTTTGCAATCCCAGAAGTACTGCCTGCAGGATTAGCTAGCTGGAGCGTTGCTGTGCATCACTGCGAATACTCAACAAACGGCTACAGATCAATTTTGCCTGTCTCGGTGTGTGGGACAAGCCACAGAAAAGGAATGCTTGTAATAACAGGATTGTGAACTGTATACAACAAACGACTTCCATTAAATAGGTTTAACAAGACAGCCAGTCCCTATGGAATAAATGACACAGGATAGTGACAGAGGCATGCGCTCTGATTATGTAGACTACAGGGATTGGTGTCTGTTTTTAGAGCAAAAAAGGCACAATATCCCAGTGCCAGATACTTCAAGTACCAGAATCCACCGGGGGGAGGGGGGAGAGTGGACAGAAACTGGGAGAGAAGCCATGCACCTCTTTTGCACTAAAAGTTGAGTCCTCTCATCCATTTGGTTAAGTCAGGTCTTGTTGGTCTAAGCACGACAGCCCCACCCCCCAATGCTGGGACCAACTTAGTGCCTCTGGTGTGTAAATAGAAATACAGTGGTGCCCCGCAAGACGAATGCATCACAAGACGAAAAACCCGCAAGACGAAAGGGTTTTCCGTCGCGGAGGCGCTTCGCAAGACGAATTTCCCTATGGGCTTGCTTCGCAAGACGAAAACGTCTTGCGAGTCTCGCCATTTTTTCCCCCGCTCCCCCCCCCTTTTTCAAAGCCGCTAAGCCGTTAATAGCCTTTTAACAGCTTAGCCGCTAAGCCCGCTAAGCCGCTAATAGCGCTAAATCGCTAATAGCGCTAATCCGCTTAGCCGCTAATGGGGTTGCTTCGCAAGACGAAAAAACCGCTAGACGAAAAGAATCGCGGAACGGATTCTTTTCGTCTTGCGAGGCACCACTGTATAAACCAATCTGTCTTTTTAAATAATAATAATAATAATAATAATAATAATAATAATAATAGTCAGAGCTGCCCTAGGTCCCAGCTCACAAAGGACCAACGCCACTCCGTTGTTATATACAAAAGTCTTTATTGAAGTTCAGTTTCTCTTTCACAGCCGCGGCGCGCAGCTCTACGTCTCAAACTCTAGACCGCCGAAGCTCCGTCTGAGTCTCCTCCCCCCAGACACCAGTTTAAGACTCTAGCCTTGCTCCACCTCTTCCTTTGCTCTTTTCTCCTCTGGGTCCGCCTGTCCGCTGGGGTTTTACCCTTCCTAGACTCTTCTGACGCTGAGTCCCCTGAGTCTTCCCCCTGCCTCCGGCGGGCTTTAGAACCTGGTTCCCAATCCGGGTTTTCTGCTGTCCCGCGCGCCTGTACATTTGAACTTGGCGCGCGCGCCCACCCGGCAACCTTCCTCCTGACCGTTACACTGCTCCTGTCACTGCTTTCCCCTTCGGGGATGCTAGCTGGGTCTGACCTCCCCTCCGTTCCCCCACTCTCCGACAAAGGCGTGGTCAGCCCTGACTCCTCTTCCTTTCCTGCTGGAGGAGACGCTGGCCCTGACACATGGGACTCTTCCCCCCCACTACGCTCTGGTGGGGAAGCTGGTCCTGATCTCCCGCTGCTGCTTTGGGAGTCCCCGCTGCCCCTTGCTTCTGGTGCGTCCCCCCCTGGGACCCCCCTTGCCCTGGCCATCGGCGCCCCTTCTGGGGAATCTTCTGATTCACTGGAGAGGCTCATGGAATCTCTAGGGTCACTGTCATTTCTCCCCTCCGCTGCCCTCAGATTCTTCCCCTTCGCTCTCCATTTCCTCTCTCCCCTGTGCCTCTGCTCCTGAGCCCCTGACAATAATAATATAATAATAATAATTTTTATTTGCTTTTACAGGTGTAAAGATACAACAATACCAAATACATATCCATATTTAAAGATTTCTCGGAATCGCCAGACTTCCCATCATACCTTCCCTGGGTCCTATTGTCAACATTTTCAGCTCCATATTATTTCATCATCCATATTTTTTATCTCTCCATATTGTCCATAGTAGTTGTTACATTACAAGTGTTATTAGAATCCTGCTAATGTTTTCATCTGCTTACAGTGGTCTCCCTTAAATAAATTATAAATGTTTCCCATTCTTTCTTGATGTTTTGGTCTTCTTGGTTCCTGGGCTTTCCGGCCAGTTTTACCATTTTGGCGTAATCCAACAGCTTGGTTTGCCATTCCTCTCTGGTCGGGACTTTATCTTCTTTCCATCTCTGGACTAATAGCATCCGTGCAGCTGTTGTCGCACACATAAAGTACCGTATTTTTCGCTCTATAACACGCACCCGACCATAACACGCGCGTAGTTTTTAGAGGAGGAAAACAAGAAAAAAAATATTCTAAACGAAATAGTGGATATATGATTTTTGTGGTTCATGCTGTGGCCACAGACATGTGATCTGACAGTGAGTTTGGAGTAGTCCAATGCAAAAATCCTAAGGATCCATGTGGATCCATGCTTTGTAACCACGGAGGAGGGAAGGAAGGGGAACCATGGATCCTCTGCTCACGACTGCAGCAGATCCCCTCGCCACCCGCAGGCATTCGCTCCATAACACGCACAGACATTTTCCCTTACTTTCTAGGAGGAAAAAAGTGAGTGTTATGGTGCAAAAAATACGGTATTTTCTGCTCCTTTGGGATGTCGGTAGCTACAATTCCTAACAGAAAGGCTTCTGGGTGGTTTTTTTACAAAGGTTATTTTAAACATTTTTTCCCAGTTCATTATATATCATTTCCCAGAATGCTTTTATTACCTTGCACGACCACCACATTATTTATTTTTTATTTTGAATACAATCTTAATTTTATTTTCACTCTAAATTTAGACTCTAGATGGATACAGCATCACTCGGATCCTGTGTCCAATGGCTTTGGCAGGTAGGTTGGAGCGGAACTTTGCCTGCACCATGCTGCTGTTTCCATGGGCACAGGTCACCTTTCCCCAGATCACTCTGTTGGCTTTGCCGCCAGGAGTCACAGTGTTGTTTTTTGCTTTGTACACATAGGCGCATTTCTTGCCCAAATAGAATTCTGTCTCATTACGGGAATAAACTCCCTCAATTTTCAGAAGAGCTGTGTGCTCTCTCTGGCTTCAAAGACCTCGCTTGTAGCCAGCAGAAGTGGCCTTGGACCACAACCTGCCAGTCATGGTGTTGTCTTGAAGTCCTGTTCCCAGCAGGCCTCAGCAGCACCGAGCCAAGATGGCGGCGAGAGAGAGCCACGACCACCACATATGATAAAAAAGGTACCTTCTTTTACTTTGCATTTCCAGCAGGTATTTGTACTTGTATTATACATTTGCACTAACTTATTAGGAGTCAAATACCACAGATACAACATTTTCATATACCGTATTTTTCACTCTATAAGACGCACCAGACCATAAGACATACCTAGTTTTTGGAGGAGGAAAACAAGAAAAAAAATATTCCGAATCTCAGAAGCCAGAACAACAAGAGGGATCACTGCACAGCGATCCCTCTTGCTGTTCTGGCTTCTGGGATAGCTGCGCAGCCTGCACTCGCTCCATAAGACGCACACACATTTCCCCTTACTTTTTAGGAGGGAAAAAGTGAGTTTTATAGGGCAAAAAATACAGTAATTTTCTTTCAGCGTACAACATGCTGAGAATTTCTAAACCAATTTGTCTTCATTCTCCAGGGGGATGTTGGATGGGGGGATTTCAGGGACCAGATCTGGCCTGCAGACCGGGGGTTCCCCACTCTGCTTCGTGGCACCAGAGTGCATAGGCTGTGTCTGTTTCGTAATGTTTAGCCCCAGTGTCCCCAAACAGCATGTGTTGGGGTCAAGCTGGTTTACTGTTCAGGCTGCCTCAAAACAGAACCGGAATGGCGCCAAGTCATCGATGGAACCACCCAAAGCTGCATTTCTGCCACACAGAAAAGCCCTCCATGTGTTCCCATCTTCTCCTAAAAAAAACCCCAGAGCCAAAAGCTACCACATCAGTCAGGTTTGCTATAATGAACTCCAGCTTCTCCTCTGTTTGGTCCTGGCAGTGATGCTATACATATCATAGGAAACCACGAACCCCAACCGCAAGACGAACGCCTCCGTTTCTGTGCAACGTTTTCCTCCTGCAGGGTGCTCACATTATCAGGACTTGGGTGTCACAATGCAGACGCTATTAGAAGGCACCTGTTCGATACAATGGAAAGGCAGTCTCCTGTGATTAAAATATCTCTTTTATGACAAATGCCGCACAACTGTTTGGCTGCAACTATAAAGCAAACGGGCTATTTGCATATGAAAGGGGATTCTTATACATTTGGGAGTGATGGAATCGGATCTCTATGTGGCCAAGGAAGCGGGGATAGGAAATATTTTCTCTCTCCTTTTATTTCCATGGATGTTGATAGGGAAAGGCCACGGTTTTGCATCCGTTGTTCTGGAGCTATTGATCCGGGCAGCACTGATTGCTGGAATGTTAAGTCTGTCGTCTCAGCAAGGAATCAGAATTATGCAAGATGTGCCAAGAGGAAACTTACTTTCCAGTGTGTGTGTGTGTGTGTGTGTGTGTGTGTGTGTGTGTGTGTTTGTGTAGTTTGACACCAACTGAGCAAATGCAGCAAGTGAGAATTTGAAGTCTGGAAATAAACATGTATATTCTTTGTGATGTTATTAGCAGTGAATACTTGAAAACAAGCCGGGTTTCAGTTCAGGATCCCAGTATGAATTTACTGTATTAGGGAGCCCCGCAGATATCTGCCGGCTACTCTGAAGGACACATGCATGCACACACGAGCAAGTAAATATGCAAGTAATCACACAAAATTGCATTTGGTTTGTGAACAGGGACACTGCTTGCCCCGTCTTCACGAAACTGTTCTTACTTCCACTTTCCTAATGTAAAGATCAGCATGCCTTTGGGGGTTGGTACCAAGCATGGATGCGGGTGGCAGTGTGGTCTAAACCACTGAGCCTCTTGGGCTTGCCGATTCGAAGGTTAGCGGTTCGAATCCCTGTGATGGAGTGAGCTCCTGTTGTTCTGTCCCAGCTCCTGCCGACCTAGCAGTTTGAAACCATGCCAGTGTGTATAGAAGGTAAATAAGAATCTGCAAGAGAAGATATATACTAAGAAAACCGAAGCAGGGAAGGAAGGAAGTCTGGGCATGAATTTACGCAGTGTAAATAAGACGACATAAAATGATGACTGTAAAAGCTTAAGATTAAGTTTTATTTATGTTTGTGAAAAATTCAATAAAAAGCATTTTAAAAAAGAAAGCATGCCAATGTAAGTAGATCAATAGGTTCTGCTGTGGCAGGAAAGTCGGCGGCAGCAGTGTCTGGGTGTAAATTGGTGAAAATGTCCTGGAAAATCCACACGTATGGCAGCCTGTGACAATTTTGACGTTTCCCCCTAAAATAGCTCAACAACTTTTCTGTCCAGATTTTCACTGTTTGAAATATGGCAATCCTAATGCACTGGGAAGTGTAGCATAATGCTTGCTTTGATCCAACACCTCCTAACTTCCCTGCAAAAAAAATCAAGAATGAATGCTCAATATATAGGTCATCTGGAAGCCCCATGTTGCTCCCTGCAGCCCCTGTTTCACATCTGGGTCCTGTTGGCGGACTTTAAGGTTCAGGTAAAGAGCAAAGTTGATCCTGCAAACTAGAAAGCCATTTGCCCTCCTTCAGCATATCTTTGGGATTGGGTCTTTAAAAATAGTGTTCCATGGCAAAATCTGTTCAAATGTAATGTTGATACTTGTTAACAGACTTGAGTAATTTTATGAAAGAGGCAGGAGATCAAGAAACAAGACTGTCGAGAACTTAGCATAAAGGCTAATCCAACTGTGTACTGAGAACCGATCAAATTAAATCATACATTTGCTATTCATCCCTTTTAATTAATGCTTCCCTGCCTCGTTTACGCCCACATTAAACCATCCCTGAATTATGGTTCTTGGCTCATGCAAGTTTGCATGACACAAGTCTCTATTAACCTTGCAAAGATGAGGGTGGGAGGAACTAAGTGGGATTTATGTAACAAGGAAACACAGAACTCGTAAGTGAAGATTTAGCATGCTGCCTCACTCAGGAATTCCACATCACCATGCCTTCCAACCTTGGTTGGAGGAAAATGCTTACACTTTTTAAATGGGCAAGAGAAGCCCATATTAGGTAAATAACAGGAGCAAGAAGAAGGACCTATTTCTAAAGCAAGCAAGCAAGCAAACAAACAAACAAACCAATCTACATGTGTGTTTCTGCACCACATGGAAACACAAAAATTACATTTAGGATTTGCAGGATCAGTGGGCTCATTCAGCTCATCTGAAGGTCACAAAAGTCAGTGACACCAGAAATTGAGCTCCTCTGCTGATCCTCATCCCATCTGAAATGGTGGGTGAGAATCTCCAGTTATCTGTCTGAAGATGTGCTTTCTTTGGACCACCCCATTGACTCTGTTGACCATTTTTTTCCATCAGGCTCCTCCTTCCATCAGCCACTGATATTCCATAAGGCCGCGGCAGAGTGAGAGAGGAGAAGTAGGAATAATAATAATAATAATAATAATAATAATAATAATAATTATACCCCGCCACTCTGGGTGGCTCCCAACAGAATATTAAAAACACAATAAAACATCAAACATTAAAAACTTCCCTAAACAGGGCTGCCTTCAGATGTCTTCTAAAAGTCAGATAGTTGTTTATTTCCTTGACATCTAGTGGGAGGGCGTTCCACAGGGAGGGCGCCACCACCGAGAAGGCCCTCTGCTTGATTCCCTGTAACCTCACTTCCCGCAGTGAGGGAACCGCCAGAAGGCTCTCGGAGCTGGACCTCAGTGTCCAGGCTAAACGATGGGGGTGGAGATGCTCCTTCAGGTATACTGGAAGCTATGCTGAGAAGCCAGCTAGTTTCTCACAGCCCACAGCCCCCATCTAGCCTTCATCAAGGCAAGGAGGAGGCATGATCAGAGTTTTAAGGACACATTTCAGCCAGGCAAACACACTCCCAGAAGGTCTGAAGCAGGACTGGTCAGAGGGGTGGCCTGAGGAGAGAGGCTGTGAAGCTCCAGTGGC